GGGGCCGCGCGGAGGCGCCAGGCCTCCCCCCGGACCCGCTCGGGCTCGTCGTACACGTACGCGCCGTGGCCGCCCAGCGCCTCGGGCTCGTCGTAGATGTGCTCGGCTTTGCCGGCGCCCGCCGCGGGCACCGCGGTGCCGCCCAGCAAGGCGCCGAACTCGCTGCCCGCCAGCGACTTGGCGATGGCGTCRAAGGGCACCGCGTAGTCGGCGTCGCCGGCCGGCGCCGCCGCGCTGCCCTTTCCCGGGCGGCAGGAGCGGCGCGGCTCCGCGTAGGGGACGTCACCACCGGGCGCCTTCGCCTTGGCCTCCAGCGAGGGAGCCTTGGGGGCCTCGGTGGCGACGCCCGGCTCCCGTTGCGCCTCGATGGCCGCCTCGAGCGCCTGGAAGATCTCGTCGCCCTGCCGCGTCTCGAACTCGAAGCTGCCCTCGCCCGACGYGCACCGGCGCCCGGCCTCGAAGGAGAAAGTCGCCTGCGGGCGCGGGGCGTCAGCACCTTGGTGCCGCGGCCGGTGCCCGCCGCGGCGTCCCTGCTGCGCCGGTCATACCTTGTCGCGGCCGAAGCGCCGCAGGAAGCGGTAGGGCCAGCGGTAGAGCGGCTGYGGCGAGCGCGGCTCGCGCAGCTCCAGCGCCTCGGCCGCGGCGCRCAGCACGAAGCGGCCCCGCAGGCGGCAGCGCTCCGAGGACGCGGTGGCCCTCACGGCCACCTCGAACTCCTTGGGCACGGCGCCTGCCGCGCGGCGGCACGGTCGGCACGGGCGGCGGGGCACCCCCGGCCCCGCCGCGGCGCCGCTCTGCCCGCTCCGTCCATGCCCGCACCCCATGGCGCTCCCACCTTTGCCGGCGGAGCTGTACAGGATGTTCTCCTCCATGGAAAACTCGCTGTCCGCCTCTCCCGGATGCGCGGCCTTTTGGGCATCCTTCCCCGTGGCYGCCTGCTCCCGCAAGGAAAGAGAGGCACATGAGCCGCTGTCCCCCTGCCCAGCCGCCCCCACGGGGTCCCGCGTGTCCCCGTTGTCCCCTCCCGTGCCATTCCCACGCGCCCACGCCACCAATGCCCCCGCGGCCGCCCGCGCTCACGGGGAAGGCGAGTTCACAGAGCCTCCCGATCCACTCGGCAGCCTCGGCCATCTCGGCCGCGAGCAGGTAGCACTTCTCGGTGGTCTCCAGCAGGAAGGGGACGGTGTCCTTGGGGCCGCCCGTGTCGCCGGGCGCCTCGGCCACATGCACGCAATCGCTGAGCTTGACCAGCTTCCTGGCGGCCTCGCCGCGCCGCAGCTTGTCGGCCGGCGGCGGCGCCGCGCCCTCGAAGAGCTCCAGGCGTGCCGTGGAGCACGGGCTCTCCCGGTACAGGACGCCCCAGAACTTCCTCCATTTCTGCCAGAGGGAGCCGAGGGGATGGGTCAGAAATGCTCCAAGTGGGAACTCGGAGAGTCCCCATTGCTGCCTCCGAGCATCCCTGTCCTGCTGACCCTGAGCATCCGCATCCCCTGCCTTGGAGCATCCCTGTCCAAGCATCCCTACCTGCCACCTTCCAGCATCCCCGTGCCTGTCTCTGGTCATCCATGTACCGTTGCCCCCGAGGATCCGCATCCCCTGCCTTGGAGCATCCCTATCCCCCACGCTCCGAGCATCCCTACCTGCCACCTTCCAGCATCCCCGTGCCTGTCTGGGTCACCCCTGTCCTGCTGCGCCCGAGCATTCGCATGCCCTGCCTTGGAGTATCCCTATCCCCCACGCTCCGAGCATCCCTACCTGCCACCTTCCAGCATCCCCGTGCCTGTCTCTGATCATCCCGGTCCCCCTGCCCCTGAGCATCCTCATCCCCTGCCTTGGAGCATCCCTCTCAAAGCATCCCTACCTGCCACCTTCCAGCACCCCTGTGCCTTTCTGGGTCATCCCTGTCCCACTGCCCCTGAGCATCCCTGTCTCCGAGCATCCCTGCGGCCCATTCCCAGCCCCTTCCCAAGGCGCATGGCGGCTGCAGCACTCCGGCGGACCCGGAGCCGCCCAGGAAGCTTTCGCCATGGAGGCTCTTGCTCAACACGGATCTTATCGGCGGGTGCAGCAGGGCCACGCGGGGTGCCTGGCGCTGCCACCCACCCGCAGCCCGTTGCGCCCTTTCCCTGTCACGCATCCCCAGCACGCGGGCACGGAGATGCCGGGGAATCAGAGGCAGGCGGGCGCTGTGTGACAAGGGACATGGGGACAGAAGGAAGGAGGTCCCGGCCGCGCGCGGCGGCCTCCCCGCTTCGCTCGGTACCTTGCCAAAGGTCTGCTGCAGCTGCAGGTGCAGCAAGCCCTGCTTCACCACCGCCTCGTCCATGCCGTGCCCAGGAGCATCGTCCCCCGGCCCGGGTGCTTGTGCTGTCCCCGCTGCGGCCCGTGCCCTGGCGCCCGGCCGTGCTGTCTCACCAGTGACGTGCCGGGGTGTGTATATATATATATGGGCCCTTTTTTTTTTTTTTTTTTTTT